TGGTCTCTGGCATGTGTAGGATAAATCTTTGATGGTCTCTGGGGCGTGTACAGCAATCTTTGCTGTACTTAACCTTTTAGTAGTTTTCGATGGCATTGATGACATGCTTCTAGCAGAACACATGTTACATTTCTGCTCTACAAACTGCACTGGTTACCAGTTTGTTTCCAGGTCTAATCTAAGGTGCTAGTTTTGATCATTAAAGCCCTACTTGCCATGAGAATGGGTTATCTAAGAGTGTGCCTTTCCTGATGATATCTGCTCATCCCATCAGATCCAGCAAAGAAGGCTTGCTGGTCCTGTCATCTAGAGATCTACATTTGCTGGGTCCTAAGCAGTGAGACTTTTCTGCTGTGGTGCCCTCTTTCTCCCAAGTAAGATTGGCTTCTTCACTTTTGACCTTTGGAAGGCCTCCAAAATCTATCAGACATTCGTATTCCAGTGGACCAGGGAAGAATTGAGATGACTCCTGTATTATTAACATCTTCTCACTTAATATTTCTTCTTGTTCAACTTCATTTTTGTAGATTTTGAATTTTTTACCATAATAATATTTTACTACTTATTAATTTAACTGTTTTTAAACTTTGTTGTAATTCTCCCTATATAAAATTGACCCAAAAAACAAATATTGTCAACAATTATCAAGTTGCTCTTTCCAGTTTTTTTAAAGTAAACTTTTATTTGATTTGTATAAAAGTACAAGAGAAAGACAGGGAGGGAAAACCCATACATTCCTACAGTTCTCTTACATTAATCAACATTTCCTTAAAATAGGAAATCAGATGGGAAATTAATCATATGAACTAGTATGAACTAATATATTCATAACTAATATTCAGAAAGAGGTGTGTGACTGCTACATAATTACTGGAAAGGCTGTCTTTCATAATGCATGCAATATCCATTTTCTATGTCCTATAATTTTTTTTTAAATGTAAACATCTACAAAAACCAGTGAATCTTTCACTTAAACACAGAACCATATCATATAGACCAATATTGCACTTGAACAACATAACCCCAACAATTAGTTGAATCCACCCATCAAATCCTGAAAAGCTTAATCAATCTACAAATATCAATTCAAATATCACACAAGCATAAAAGCATGAGAACACTAGAGCAAACATTTAGCCACCGCAAGATGGTGAAAAATAATTTTTCAAGAATCTTTCTCCAAATTACATTGTTGCTAAATTACATCTTGCAAGTTGTTAATCAGTTTAAGAAGTGGTAACATGTTCCTTAGCTGATGCTCTTGCAAATGGATAATGTTAACACAAAAGTTGCTTGAGGGACGTGCTCTGTGAATTCTAGTGTAGTCTAAATTCACTGGTATGTTTCTGTCGATTGGGTGTCTTAACAGTTATGCTTCTTAACTGCCATTGGGATTTAATTACTGCCTTTTAGGTTTGTAATGTATTGTAATTCCTGTGTTAAAAATCACAATGGGGGTATATGTTGAGATTAAACTATATTTAGATAATAGGGTTTTAGAGGAAGCATTGAGTAGGCATATTTGAAGGAGGAAAATACAGTGAAAATAGTTACCAAGAAAATTTAATGGATCTGTCCATGAAGTCACAAGAGTCAAATCTGATTTGAGGAAATGTTTATCAATCATGTATTTAACTGTAATTTTTTTCCTATGAACATACTGTGTACAGAAAGTATTGATTTGAATGATATGAATTCATCCTATGACTGTGGTGGAAAAATATGTCCGCCTTCAGCAACCCATTAATGTAACAAAACTTCCACTCAGTGAAAAGCAATGTCCCCAACAGTTTTCATTACAGAAGAGGAATCTGCCTATTTTAATTTGGTTTAGTTTAAAACAATTTTATGTTTTTTTTAATTTAAATTATTTTATTTACCTAATACTTATTGTATCTTTTCATAGATTTGTGATTTTAAATACAGTCTTCAACAAAACATATTATCACAGCTACTTTGAATAACATGAATTTAAATCTCTTTTTCATGAAAAGCGAACTCAGAGTATAACATCCATCAATCAACAGAGTAAAGAATATGGATTTTCTTTTTTTAATCATTCCATACTGCTACTACTATTTTATGGGGTGGGGTGGGGGAGATTTTGGTTTAAATGTCAAAATTCTTATGGTGTCAACAACATGTTTTATCTGCATTTTTGGACAAATAGTAAGAAAACTTGATTCCAAAGCCTGTCTTCCTTCCTTCCTTCCTTCCTTCCTTCCTTCCTTCCTTCCTTCCTTCCTTCCTTCCTTCCTTCCTTCCTTCCTTCCTTCCTCAGCAACCATCTTTCCCAACCAAACTATCTGTGTCCCCAAATGTGGATGGACAGAAGACATTTCTACATGAAATCCTCAATTCTCCCCTCAAAGAAGTGTGTGCATGGCCTCATAAATTCACTGAGCAAGACAAAGTTGCTCAGAGCAGAACAGATGAGAAGAAATAGCAAACAGACAAACAAGCACCAATAGTGACAAGTTTTTTGGGATTTAATTTTGAGACCCATGTTGATAGCAGCAAGGCAGACCCAATGCAGAAGTGAGGAAGTTTGGGAAAAGAATTGAAGAATTAAGAAATGCACATCCAATACCAATAAGGGCAAAACAGTTTAAGATGACGCAAAGGAAAAAAAAAACCCTGAAAGCTATTATAACACATAGATTAGAACAGTTTTCCTTATCTTGGTTTTCTGTGGTAGCTTCTGCTACCTAGCAAGATGAAGAAGGCATCAAATTGAGGGAATTAGAGCAAGATGAAAGCAAACTAGGAGCCAAGAACTAAGTCAAACAACAAAGGAAAGGAATAAAAGAAAGAATATATAATAAAGGTAGTCCTTGACTTACAACCATTTGTTTGGTGACCATTCAAAGTTACAACAGCACTGAACACTGACCATTTTTCACAGTGATTATCACAGAAGCATCCCAGGTCTCGTGATCAAAATTCGGATGCTTGGCAAACTGACTCATACTTATGATGAACACAGTGTCCCAGGGTCATGTGTTCCCCTTTTGCAACCTTCTGACGATCAAAGTCAATGGGGAATCCAGATTCACTTAACAAGTCTGATATTAACTTAACAATTGCAGTGATTCACTTAACAACCATGGCAATAAAGGTTGTAAAATGGGGCACAACTCACTGAACAACTGTCTTGCTTAACAGCAGAAATTCTGGGCTCAATTGTGGTCATAACTAGAGGACTACCCGTAAGTCGCATGCTTTCAATGATCACATTTGTTCGAGTCCCAAAATAGCTTTTTAATGGCTTCCCTCAACCTAAACAATCTGAGCATCTTGCTGCAGTGTAAGATACGCAGAGCTTTGATTGCATAAATAAAGGCTAGAAAGGTGGCTATTAATCCATCCCTTTGAACTTTGAAAATATCTGTCCCATTTTCTGAAGAACCACTTATGTATATCAGTTCAAGTATTTTCTGGTAATAACATACTCCAAGCCATTTAACATTTCTCCTTTGATGACAATTATATATTTGCATTACATATTTCTTGATTCCTTCCATGTAAAATGACTTTTAAAAAAAATTATGAAAAAAAAAAGTGTCAGCTTTGCTGGGAAGAAACAAGGCAGCATCATGAATAGGTTGTAGGCAATCATTTTCAAAATGAAAATTTTAATTAGTCAAGTGATAATTACATTGTAGAAGATGCATCTGACAACCATTAAATATTCTCAGAAGGCAGGAGACCATGTTTCATATAGCAACACCTGATACAGACCACTGACAAATACTATTTGGGATGATAGCATGAGAATTATCATTTGAAGCACATAGAAAAGCACTTTTGACACATCATTATTGGTTTGTTATTTTATTTTTAACCACTTTACCTTGGTTTTGTGATTAAGCTGGAGAGCTTAGGTCTGATTTCACTTTTTTCTTTAAGATATAGAGCTAAATTAATGAGCCAGTTAAGGAAGAAGAAAAGCCCTGTTTGATCTAAAAAAAGTTCATCCAGTTTGGTCTAGAAGTTAAGATTGGTTTTGTTAAGCCAATATCAAATCCCTTTGTGAGATATCCTTAATATTTCAGTCAAAACCATCTCAAGAGTTCCTGTTTTCAGCTGCCAAGTATTAAATTGCAAATGAATAATAACACATTTTTCATAAACATGTCTAGCTTCATTTTTTTGGGAAAAATATCTTTATCTCTTTAAGAGCTCTCCCAAACAGTAATTACATGCTAATTAGTTGTAAGTGTGAAGAGTGCTTATAACCATTCTCCGTTAATGATTGAAGTTCTGTTACTCCCCATAATTATTAGCTATTCTGCCCTATTGATTACTTAGAAAGAGCTTTAATTTTGTCTACTACAAATATTGAAAAGACTGTATTTACTTAAATTAAGAACATGAGTAGTCATAAAAGAATTAGTGTTTCTGTATCTCTTTGCTGCCTTTTAGTGGGTCACCTGGATTTTTCAACATGGATGTGTTAGCCCTGTGTAAGAGCAGTTTTGATTTATGCGTGGTAACATCAATAGTTTTTATTTATAATTATAAGATTCTGAGTTTTCTTTTTCACTTTCTCTTACCGGTAATTTGTCTTAAGTAAATGGAGCAAGTTGACCGTACAGCAGTTGCTTTTAAAAGATCAATTAAAAGTTATGTGTCACTAACAATAGTATTTGCTATTAAGATATTGCTTTTTAAAGTGTTTTATATTATTTTATACTTTCTATCATTTTATTATTGACTTGGGGCCAGTCACTCTATCTGAGTCTAACACCCATCACAGGGTTACTGTGGTGGAGAAAATAGGAGGAGGAAGGAGCATTAGGTATGTTGGCCACTTTGAATTATTTATAAAAAAATAATAAAGGCAGAATATAAATAAGTGAATAAAATTACCCATGATCTCATTTCAATTATTTGATCTTATCTGAGAATATGTATATTGTTATATTACAGACATTAAAACAATAAATATAAAAACAAACAAACAAAAACCCAGAAAGACTTCAATAGATGGCACTTACTTGGGGAATTCAGCAGACGTGACTTTTTACAATGGTAAATTGTCTCCTGTTCACAATATTCAGCATTATTTGTTATTGCTTCCAGCTGATCCACACTGCTATTGTAACTGAAGTTCATGGTGTATGGCTTCCTAGGATCAAATCCGTGGACATGAGTCAATTCTGTGTTATTGTGCTGCACTACTGTCCAGATCTTGTCTTCTGTGGTGAAATGAAAGGGAAAAGAGATAAGAAAGTGAGTGGGTTGTTTTTTTTTTTTTGTTTCATCTGAAGCTTGATGTTTCTGTTACATATATTGGTACATGGAATATGAAAATAAGTATCTTTGACAAAGTGTTAATTCAAAAGAAGGAATAATTTAATCTTTCCATTTTCAAACCAAGATATCCAACAAAACTGGAGCACGCAGCAGTCCGAAGAGATTTACAAGTAAACCCCCAATTGTTCTTATCAGCTGAATCAGGGTGAAAAACAATTTGTATGAATATGTAAATTTGGAGTCTTACGAGTAATTTTAGGAGTCCATCACTTTATGATTTTACAGTTTATATTGCATTTTTGTTCTATTTTCTGGGTCAATATGGATCAACATAGTATTATGGAAGAAAGGGAAGAAAAATCCATGGATTTCTGTAGAAGCGGATTTTCAAGAGAGATGCTGCTTTAGCAGAAACATTAATAGGATTTGCATGATTATTTTTGGCAATGAAAAAACAAAACAAAAAACAAAGCCATTGGTTTCCAAAAACCATGTACAACAAAGATGTGGTGAAAAATAACAATAGCTGGATGGATGGATGAATGGATGGGTGGGTGGGTGGATGGATGGATGGATGGATGGATGGATGGATGGATGGATGGATGGATGGATGGACAGACAGACAGACAGACAGACAGACAGACAGACAGACAGACCGATGATGGACAGACAATTTTACTGTGCCACACTCCCCACAAGGAAATTGTACAGTGAGATAATTGAGATCCCTGGATCAGACCATTGTTCTGGCTGACTTTCAGATGGAAGTAGGAAGCTTTGCCAACCTATGCTATTAAGTGGTGACCTCAAGGACCCTTGGCTGATGGCAAGACAACATCACACTTGAGTTTTAGTGCAGTAGGAAATATATTCTGTCCTTTCATTTTAGGAGTATAATGAAATTGATTTTCCCTTTTTTTTTTAAATTTGATTTATATGCCGCCCTTCTCCGAAGACTCAGGGCGGCTTACAATGCGCTAAGCAATAGCCTTCATCCTTTTGTATATTTATACAAAGTCAGCTTATTGCCCCCACAACTGGGTCCTCATTTCACCTACCTTAGAAAGGATGGAAGGCTGAGTCAACCTTGAGCCTTGGCGAGATTCGAACCCTGCAGTAATTGCAGGCAGCTGGTCTTAATAACCAGCTTAATAACAGGGTGCCTTAAACCCCTGTACTACCAAGGCTCCTTTCTGTTATTGACTTCTTTACCATAATAAAGAGGAAGGAGGGGGGAGGGAAGGAGGGAAGAAAGGAAGAAATATAGCAAAATAGCAAAAAAGAAATAAAAATAGTGTTCATTTTCACCCAGGATTTTAAGATTGGCAATAATTTACCATTTCCCAACACAAAACTCCCTTTCTCTTGATTGATCCCAAGTAACTGTTATTCAAAAACATTCTGGGCTTTCATGCAGCTCACTCATAACAAATGAGATGCATTGCTACTTTATATGGTCAGGCTTGGCTGCACTCATGTATGTATGGCTGATATCTCAAATGGACTATTACAGTGTGTTCTTCTTGGGACCCCAAAGTAATTTGGGAACTTCAAATTCCCAAAATAACTTTGGAATGACTAATGATACAGATTTAACAGATTAACAGATTTGGAAGGGACCTTATAGGTCATCTAGTCCCACCCCCCGCTCAAGCAGGAGACCCTTCATCATTTTTGACAAATGGCAGTCCAATCTTTTCTTGAAAGTCTCAAGTGATGAAGCTCCCACAACTTCCGAAGGCAAGCTGTTCCATTGGTTGATTATGCTCACTGTCAGAAAGTTCCTCCTCATTTCTAGGTTGAATCTCTCCTTGGTCAGTTTCCATCCATTATTCCTTGTCTGGCCTTCAGGTGCTTTGGAAAACAGCTTGACCCCCTCCTCTCTGTGGCAGCCCCTTAAGCATTGAAAGACTGCTATCATGTCTCCCCTGGTCCTTCTCTTCTCTTCACTAGACTAGCCATGCCCAGTTCTTGCAACCGTTCTCCGTATGTTTTAGCCTTCAGTCCCCTAATCATCCTGGTTGATCTCCTCTGAACTTTTTCTAGAGTCTCAACATCTTTTTTATAGTGTGGTGACCAAAACTGGATGCAGTACTCTAGGTGTGGTCTTACTAGGGCTTTATAATTGGTTGGCAAAAAGGATATCTATTTTTTCTGCTTGATTGGGTGGCCTATAATATACACCTATGGCATGTCATTCTTTTTGTCTTTTATGTTGACCCATATGCATTCTAGGAGATTTTTGTCTTTGGTTTCATGCAATTCTATAGCAATATAGTGACCTGGGTACTCAGATGATGGCAGGCTGGGATCCTGTTAGATGTGATGGATATGATAGCCAAAGCTGATGAGGATCTTATTCACTTACTAGAGAACAGCTATAGTGAGGCTGGCAGGTTGGGGATGCTGGTGAAACACTATTGTAGTTTGTTGACTTGGAGAATCATGAGCAGTGGTGGCAGAGGAAGACTGAGTACCAATGAGTAGATAATTGGTACAAGGTTTTGGACCTAAGAAGATGAGTGTTAATCATATGCAACTCTCTGGGACACATGCTGGTTGATGAGGGTTGGGTGCAGGGATGAAATGCTCCCGGTTTGGACCAGATCGCCCGATCCGGTAGCGATGGTGGCAGGTGGTTCGGAGAACCGGTAGCAAAAATCGTTGCACCCCACCCCCCATGCCCAGCTGAGCCGCGCGATCATCAGAGACTTTTTTTTTACTTTTAAAAGCATTTTTTCTACAACCTCTTCAGCCGAAAAAATGCTTTTAAAAGTAAAAAAAAAAAAGCCTCTGATGATTGCGTGGCTCAGCTTGGATCATCAGAGGCTTTTAAAATAATTTTTTTTACAACCTCTTCGACCGAAGAGGTTGTAGAAAAAATGCTTTTAAAAGTAAAAAAAAAAAAAAGTTGGCCACGCCCACCCAGTCACATTACCCCCCCCCCAACCAAGCCATGCCCAATCGGTAGTAACAAATTTTACATTTTACCACTGGTTGGGTGATGTGAACTGGATAGCAAGTGGTTCTCAGAGCCTAATGTAACTCTTTGGCGATTTGGGAGAGATTAGATTTATGGAAACTGGAGGGCAGGTGAGAAGATTCCAGTGAGGACAGGGAGAAGCATAGCTAAGCTAAGATAGAGTCCCACTGCAAATATGCACAACCCCCATATTAAGGCTTAAATTTAGTGATAAGGTTGACTTATTTTTCTGTTGATATCACATCCACACAATGCCAAGCTGCAGGTTTTTTTTAAGTATAACATGACCTTAACACAGATTCACCTTGCATGCCAATCATACCTGAATTAGCAGGTACTCCAAATGAGATCACTTTTTGTTTGGATTACTGTTGATGCACAAGGACATACTGTGAAGACCAGTCAGACCTACAGCTGGTGTCAAATGCAGGGGTTATCCCTTGTTTAGTCCCTGTAACACCTTTATTTATGGGTGCAAATTAAGAAGATGGTTGTCTCCTATAAAGCTCTTCATAGCTTAGAGTCTAAATACCTGCAGGGCTGCTTCTCTTTGATTATTTATGTCCCTCTGATAAAGTCTTGCAGGGTCAACATGCTCCAGATAGCATTGTCTTATGGGACTTTGGGGACTACTCTTCTCTGTGACCATTCATGCCCTCTGGAATAGCACTCCCACATATGTCATAAGTACATATGTCTCCAACCTGATAGTCATTTAGGAAAGTTCTAGTTTTTTCATCATCAGACCTTGGGGCAGACCTTGGGGCAGACTGATCTGCAATGCAGCATTTGATTGTATGTTTCATATAATACATAATTGCCTTGGTATTTCCCTGACATGATTGCTATTTATTATTTGTTTGATTAAGATTTTTATCCTCTTCTGATTTGAAATCATAATAAGATCTCTTAAATAGCATCAGCAAGGACAAAATCACTTTAACTCTGTTTAGAACAACGTGCATTCCTGCAACAATATATTTAATATTATTCAATAACAACCTCTGCCTATCCCAGGTCCTTGGAAAGGATTTGATAAATGGACAAAAATGCCACCTACAGTTTAAATGTCTGGCTATCTGTACAATCAACCATAATAATAGCAATATACACTGCCTTGCTAAATTGACTAATAAATTAAGCAAATAAATGAAAAAGCCCAATAACATTTTATAAACCTTTGCATTGGTCTGGGGACAAGGACCGTGAATTAGGTTATTAGATTTTCAGAATCTAATCTGAAATCTGCAGCTGTTATGGTGTATATTTGGCCTTCCTATTCCTTTAGATACATATTTTATGCATGCAACTAAAAGAAAGGCACCAGTTCTCTGTACATTTACCTTAATACTTATCTTTTTGAATGTTTTTTTTTCTCTGTTCCACTTGGTTTTCTATCAATTTCCTCAAATATAGGATATTTTATGTATTTTTTCTAAATATATATTAATATTAATTTTTAAACATTTTCCAAGAATATTTTAGCAGTCATGATCAATAATTTACTGCACTGTCACCCATGACCTCATGGCATTTCATTTGGTAGAGCAAATCATTTGAGGCAAAACAAATCCATTACAGATTTCCTTAACATACTTACTGCTGAAATAACTCTCAAATATCTCATACAGAAACAGAGGTAAATTTGTTTGATTTATATTTTAATGTGAACACTTTTCTAATCAATATGCAGATGAATATATAGCTTTCTTTCAATGTTTATACCTTTCAACAGGCTGTAATGTAAATTTTCTGATCAAGAAATACATATATTAAGGAGAAATTTACATACATATGTATATGTTGATGCAAATAATGTCCCAAAATACATTCTGTTTAAGAAATTTGATTTTTAAAATATATACTGTATTAAAACAGTGTCTCTCGGGCGAAAGAAACATGAATTTATGAACTGATAAAGAATGAGGGTAACAAAAACATTAAGAATCCTAAATAGGT